CATGCCCAGCCCTCCACTTCATATGCAAAGCCCACCAGTTCATATGCCATCTCCGTAGGGTTACATTCCGAGCCCGCAGGGTTACATTCCTAGCCCGCCAGGTTACATGCCTAGCCCGCAGGGTTTTATACCATATGGAGGTGCATATACGACTATGTTTAATGATCCAACATATGGTTCATATGCATCTTATTTGGCTGGTGGTGCTTCTCCGCAGACACCTCAATCTCCATCTGGATCACATACATCGATGCCAATGTTTCCACAGTTTTCACAGTTCCCGGGGAGCGGTGGGATTGTTACTAGCACTCCTCCAGGGTCGTTATTTTATACAGGCCCTTCAGCCCCTTCAGCGTCATCTACACCAAATGAAGAAAATGCTGCTGATGATGATAGTGAAGATGAGGAGACTGAAGAACAAGTTCCACGAAGAAATCCTCCATGAAATAGACAACCACCGCCATGTGGAACTCATTCGAAAAGACGACATCGGTGATCCAGTTGTATTTTAATGTTATTTAAATAGTTATATTTCAGAATTTTATGTAATTTGGTTATGTTATTTAAATGTTTCATGGTTGTTACATACATATTTTTAATGTTATTTTTTATTCACATTTAACATTAAATGTTTGATAAATGTTTTTAAAATACAAATTATATTATTCAAAATTTAAAATAAAAATAAAAATAATATTATTCGAAATTTAAAATTAAAATATAAATTATAGTATTTGAAATTTAACATTAAATTTCAACTTAATATTCCAATTGTATTCGAAATTAAAAGTTATATTCCAATTATAGTTCACAATACTTAAATTGAAATTAAATTTATCCATACATATGATTTTATCATTAACATATATATTAAAACGTATACATTAAAATCAACTTATCACTTCATATTTATTCGTAAAAACATCTCGATGCCCATTCCATACAATTTCAATGTCACAATCAACTTATCACTTCACATTTATTCAATTTATCCATAACATTTTATCTAATTTATTCAAACTTCACATAACGGTTTAATTTAAGTTATGAACTTAAATTAATCTATATGTATAATTTATTCTTAACTTGCTGAACTTTCAAAAGAAGTTAAATTTTGGTTATAAATTACCTGATTTCACAATCCATCTAGTGTCCCCGAGGGACATGAGTGACATAATAGGGCAATGATAACATATTCTCTGACAAAATAATGGAAGGCGCGCCCCCGGGAACGCGCCTTCAAGTCCCCTGAGAAATAATAGGTACTGATATGAATAGTGTCCCCGAGGGACATGAGTGACATAATAGGGCAATGATAACATATTCTCTGACAAAATAATGGAAGGCGCGCCCTCGGGAACGCGCCTTCATATGAATAGTACTGCGATTATAGACACTATTATATGCAACGTATTATAAACTTTCAAAACAAACTTCAGTTCACAAGCTTTCAAATTCTCAAATTCCCACTCTAAGTTCTCAAATTCTCTAAAAACGAGTCATCTTTCTGCCGTTGTTTTGTATGATGGAGAAATTAAGGAAGCTGAAGAGGGGGTTATTTTTGAGTCAGATCATTATATCCCCTTAACCTTGAAGAGAAACATCACAATTTAGGAGTTAATCACAAAAATTTCGTTAAAGATTCGTGTAGCAGGCCAGAGAAGACTATCTTCACTTCAGTACAGATTTTCTACTGAACTTTTTTCGCTCACGTATACATCATTTCAGCTTTCAAACGATGATGATATTTCTATGATGGTTGACGCTCATATGGGGAGTTCACAATCTCTTATTGAAATGTATGCCACTTTTATTGAGGTTCGTGCAACTCGTGGTCTCTCATATTCCTATCACTTTGGAATTGCATATCAAGCTGATCAAGTTGATAGCCCGACACAACTGATCTGTAATGATTTCACATCATTAATGGCGGATCCAACGCCAGATGCTATGCCATCAAGTTCAATAGGAAGGCATTCATCTGCAACTGCTTATGATTTCAACCCACGTGGCTTTACCAATAATCCATATGGCAACGTCTCTTCTACTTCAAGGGGAAGACATTCATCTGCCAATGTTTTCGACTTACATATGGAAATGCCAACGAGACGGCAGTCTATTCACATCCCACATGATACAATGGCCTCAAGTTCAAGGGGAAGACACGCAAGAGGGAACTTATTTGACCTCAACATTGGATTATCGAAGAAACCCTCATCTCCATCAAAAGAACCTCTTCGGGAGCCAGGTGCAGATGGTGCTGAAACGGGATTATTCGTTGAACCTGACTCACCACAGTTTAACGTACATTCTGATGATGACGAGGATGACGTTCCGATAAATACAACACCAGCCGAACTTCCTGCACATATGTATGAGGCTGATTATGATGCAATGTATGAGCCTGAATTTCCAGATCTTCTTGATGTTGGCAACTATGGACTTCAATCATCAGTCAATGACGGTAATTTACATATAGGAATGGAGTTCGCATCGAAGGAGGAAGCAATGATGGCAATAAAGAGTTACAATATTCGTAACTCAGTTCAGTCCCGAGTTGATCGATCTAACACGGAGAAATATGTCTGCTACTGCGTCCAACGTGACAACGGATATCAATGGATGGTCCGTGTATCAAAGAGGAAGATGAAGAACAACTTATGGGAACTAACCAGATACAACGGTCCTCATACATGTTGTGCAAGAGGTATAAATCAGGATCATCCCAACTTGGACTCCAACATTATTTGCCAAGCAATCATGCCCATTGTGAAGCAAAGCTCTCATATAGCTATTGCAGTGTTGATATATGGGTACACTGTCTCATATAAAAAAGCGTGGTTGGCAAAACAGAATGTTATTTGCAAACTTCATGGCGAATGGGATTCCTCTTACAACGAGCTGCCCAGTTGGTTTCATGTTGTGCAAAGACTTAATCCCGGGACAATTGTTGAGTTCGAAACTCAACATCATTACGTGAATGATCGAATGGTTCGCGATCGCTGCCAATTTTACCGTGTCTTTTGGACTTACCCTCAGTGTATTAATGTAATCAAGTACTGTAAACCAGTTGTCCAAATTGATGGTACTTTCTTGTATGGGAAATACAAGCAAGTTTTATTATTGGCTGTGGTCCAAGATGGAAACCGCAATATTCTTCCTGTTGCGTTTGCCCTCGTTCAAGGAGAAGACACTGAGTCTTGGGTTTTTTCCTTAAAAATTTACGTTTACATGTTGTCACCAGGGAACGAGTATGCATTATTTCAGATCGAGGAGCCGGGATAAAAGCAGCAATGGACTCTTTGGGTACAATGTATAGACCTCCACACGTTCAACATCGTTATTGTGTCCGTCATATTGCTGCAAACTATTACGGAAAATACAAGAAGAACGATGAACGTCAGTTAGTCGTGCGGATAGGTATGTTACTTTTTTCTCAATTTTTCTATCAATTTCTTATTACTTATTTATACTTTATATTAACTATTACATATTCCTAATGGCTTAGGTTATGAACTCTTACTTCAAAGGTTTGAGTCGATGCTACAAGAGCTGTTTGGCAAAAATAAGAAGGGGTGCGAGTACATTATGAACATCAGCAAAGAAATGTGGACAAATACATATGACGGGGGTATCGCTATGGTCATATGACAATAAACTTGGCTGAAGCAATAAATTCAACCTTAAAGGGGGCGCGTCATTTACCAGTCACGGCGTTGGTTAAAACGACTTATTTTCGTTTGGGTCAACTCTTTGCAAAGCTCGGTGGACAAGCTCTTACTTGGATGCAAAACGACCATATTTACCATCCAAGACTAGTAGTTGATTTACAGAAAAAAATGGCTGCATCAAATGGGATGTTAGTTACAATTTTTTCTCGTACCCGTGAATTGTTTCGTGTAACCGAAATACCACGTCCGCTGCAAAGGATTGGAGCTAACTCTTTCAGAGTTAATCTGCAAGAGAGGTGGTGCGATTGTGGTTTCTTTCAAGCACTCAAATATCCATGCTCTCATGTCATTGCAGCTTGCTCACATTCGCATTTGGACTACAAAAATTATGTTGATCCCGTATACCAACTTTCACAAGTATTCAAGGTATATGAATTTGAGTTTTCGCCCATAGGAAACGAAAGAGACCCAAATGAGATTCAAACTTGGCTTACAATTGTACCAGATCCATTGCTATTGAGGGACTCAGGTCGTCCAAAATCTACTAGAATACATTGTGATATGGATATTCGGGAGAAGTCAACAGAGCAAAAACGACGTGGGCATTGTAGAAACATCGGGCACAATAGAAAAAAATGTTCAGCTCTGTTATCATCATATAACCGTTAACTCTTATGTAATTAATATTGTATTTAAATGAATGTTTTTGTTTCTAATAATTTAATGTTATTGCATTTTATATAATTTATCAATGTAGATAATTCACTCCACCTTTAACACACATTAACAAAATACATTTGATAATTCTTACATTATAATCGAAACACTTTACATAATATATTACTAATTTATAATAATAATAATAATAAAAATAAAATATTTATTATTAAACAAAATACCAACGGGGCAGTCTAGTCATCAGAATCCCGTGAAGGCGCATCCCCGGGGATGCGCCTTCCACACGTGGCATCCAACTCAGCGAAAATCCGGGTAAAACGCGTCTCCGATGATGCACCTTTGCCAGCACAGCCGAAATGATACCACTTCGAGAAATATATATCAAACGGTGCTAAAAAAATAAATATTCGGTTAAATAATATTAGTTTGATCAAATCGGCCCATAAGCTTATTTGACACTTCCCGGTCCTCAGTGGATAATTCCTTTATCAGTTATCACTTTACTTGGTCAAGGTTCCGGTGTGGGTGGGTGGGTGGGTAGGCAAAAGAAGCCAAATGTACTTTTGTGACCCAGTTGCGTCTTAAACAAGACTACTAATTTCGCTGCATAAGCTTCATATTACTGCCGCCACATTGATCATAATTCACAACAACAACAACAAAATATCAGACATTCAAGAGATGGATAAGCTTGTTTCAATCTGGTCAAAAAGCAAACCTTTGCCTGAATCCTATGTATTCCCACCAGAAACAAGACCCGGCAACCTCAATGTTCTTACTTCCAAAACCATCCCGGTTATCGATCTCCGTCAAAATCGAGCCGATGTTGTTCACCAGATTCTGAAAGCCGGCGAAGAGTATGGATTTTTCCAGGTAAAAAACACGAGAACAATTATCAATTTCTCATAACCTATAATAACTACTTTGATTTTGATCTTTGCAAACAGGTTGTTAATCATGGAGTTCCAGAAGATGTGATGAATGAAAGCATGGGTGTGTTCAAGGAGTTCTTTGAGATGCCTGCCGAGGACAAGACCATGCTTTATTCCGAGGATCCCACAAATAGATGCAGGCTTTCGACGAGCAGCGCAAATTATGCTCGGGAAAAGGTTCACCACTGGCGTGACAAATTGCGACACCCTTGTCATCCTGATTTACAAGACTGCGTCAAACTTTGGCCTCAAAAGCCAATTAGATACAGGTAAAAAAGCAAAACCCCTGATCTTTCTTCTTTCTTCTTTCTTCTTTATTCTTTCTTTCCCTTCGTTTTCTCAGTGCAAAAACTCTGCAGGGAAGTTGTGGCAACATTTTCGATTGAGTTAAAGAAACTTGGTTCGTGGATCCTGGAGTTAGTTGCTGAAGGGTTAGGATTAGAATGTGGATACTTTGGGGATAAATTAAGTGAATCTATGATGCTATCAGTTAACCATTACCCACCCTGTCCTGATCCGAGTTTGACTCTGGGATTATCTAAACATTGCGATCCTGATATCATTACCATCCTCCTCCAGGGAGGTGTGAAAGGGCTCCAAGTCTTCAACAATGGTGAATGGATTAGTGTTGAGCCCTTGCACAACGCTTTCATCGTCAACATTGGAAGCCTGTTACAGGTACACATCTTTTATTTCTTTAATCGTGTTAATTTATGGTTTACTGATTCATATTTTAATGGTTGGATTACATAGATTGTAAGTAACGACAGGCTGAAGAGTGTGGAACATCGGGTTGTAACGAACTCGAGGGTTGCTCGAACAACGGCTGCCTTCTTCATTTCCCCATCCGATGATAGCATCATAGAGCCCGCGAAATCTCTAACCAGTGACGCTTCAGTTTATAGAGCTTTCGGTTTCAAAGAATTCATGCTTCACTACTTACCCAACTTGGAAAACAATGAAGTCGTTATGGAGCATTTTAAATTGCAAGCTTAATTGATATAATTTATGTAAGAAATATGATGCTAACTCCACTCTGTGTCAGTATATTGTATATCTAATATTATCATACAGCTCTCCTGTTCCTCCATTGAAATCCCATGGAGACCATTTCAGTTGTACGCTGAACGCTTTCTAGTATTGTAAATGATAAAAAACGAGTTAGGAGAAAATCAAGTAAGGAGATTTTTCTTAAAACAAGTATCTATGGTATTTGATTTAGATTATTCAATTAATGAAATAAATATCTATGATTATAGAAAATTTAATTTTTATAAATGTATATATAGGGGAGAGATTCTATTACATACGTTATAAAATTATAAATTTTACGTTTTTGGATCGTCGATCAAAATTAAACTAATGATTTTGATTAAATTGAAAAAGCAGGCTCTTCTGCTTGCAGAAAAAAGAGAAGCTTGACAAAGGCCCATAACCACATATAGCAGTAGGAAGTAGGAATTCTCTTGACTTTTATACAGGCTTAGTATAGGTCTTTCTTTAACTCCTCCCATTCCCAAAGCTCTCCGCTTCCTGCAAGTCAAAGAAACAGGGAGAAAAATAACTTGGGTTTCCTGAAACTGATCCAGCATTCCAAGTTAAACAAATTAATGCTTCGAAAATGATTGAATGAGTAGGAATTTTTGAAATCGGAATCTATTGTTTTTGCATATCTTTCGATTTGATTGGGGGAAAAAAGGCCTTCTGTTTTAGACCAAATGCTGTATTTTTTAGTTTGAGTTGTGGGTTTATCAGATTTGGTAAGTTTTAGAATTGATTATGTGAAGTAGTGGTTGCCTAATTACTAGAAAAGTCTGGATTTCGAAGCATTGCTGCATTGGGCACTTGTTCTTGTGCTTTTAAACACAAAGGTTATAATCTTTGCAGGTGGTTCCTTGCTTTCCTTTGCTCAACTGCTTTTATATATGCTCGATGTTCCTTCCACTTGGTCAAAAACATTTTCGTGCTTATCCTTCGTGTTAGAGTCCATGAAATTATATACCTGCTTTTTGATACTACTTCAATGACAAATTCTCATTGCATTTTGATGTTTCCTTGTGGCAACGAAATTAAACCATTTAGTTTGCTTCAGTGTGTTGAAGAATTTATTAGGTCTTTGTATCTTTATGATTGGTTGATCAGATTGTCGAATTTTTCCCTATGTATTGTGTTATGAACCTAACTTCAGTTTCTTTCCTTCTCCATTTTGACAGGTTTTGCAGATATCGAATCTGTGTAAGGTTTTGAAATGGAAGGACTTACTGGGAACCTGATCCAGATGTATGGCAAGATAGTTTCTTGCGGAAATGCATTTTTTAGGTTCTTTCTGTCGGTCCCGTTCCAAATCATATCGCGTTCATCATGGATGGGAATTGGAGATACACGAAGAGGTGGAATCGGGCCATAAAGTTGGATATTCAGCTCTCATGTTTATGCTAAATTACTGCTACGAACTCGGTGTGAGGTATGTAACAGTCTATGCCTTCAGCATCAACAATTTCAAGCGAAGTCCTAAAGAAGTTCAATCCTTGATGGACCTGATGCTGGACAAGATTGAAGAAGTTAAACAGGGAAGAGAGCGTTGTGAATCGGTACTGTATTAGAGTTTACTTTTCCGGGAACCTGAAACTCCTGAATGAACCAGTTAGGTTGGCAGCTGAGAGAGCTATGCTTGCCACTGCTAAGAATTCTTAAACAGTTTTGTGTATTTGTGTTGCCTACCCTTCCACCAATGAGACTGTCCATGCCGTTCAAGAATCTTGTGAAGAAAAATGGGATGAAATCACTCCGCCCAATTCGAGCCGAGGCTATGAACAGGATGAAATTGATGGATTTATCAAACTTACCAATGTCGAGCAGCACATGTATACGGCATTTGCGCCCGATCCTGGTACCATAATACGTACGTCTGGTGAGACACGCTTTAGCATTTCCTTTTATGGCAGAGTGCAAACTCTTACTTGTATTCTCCATCAGTGCTTCGGCCAGAGATCGGTTTTTGTCAGTTTCTATGGGCCATAATGAATTTTCAGCGGATTCAATATTGACCCAAATGAAGCCTAGATTATTTTATGCTTTTTGAATCGAAACATTATATATGTAAGATAGGTGACTTTAATCAGAACATTATATACACTAAATTATAAATTCTCTAAAATGACAGCATTAAACATATAATTGTGTCTGTTTCTAAACTCTACTACCTTCATTTCTTTTGAAGGTCTACTCTAGATATTGTTGAGAATGATCCTCATCAAGTGACATAACCATGATGACCATGCATGTTGACGCCATCAACATTACCTCACCCCCCACTATACCGAAGCATGACACTTTCTTTATGTCTAATATCGAACGAATCATATTATTAGGTAAGCCATCTGACATCACCCCGAAAATGGGGCTTCATCTGCATTTCCTTTTTTAATTTGAGAAATTCATATCTCCGACGAATGGATCTAACCTCGCTAAATACTACGAGTAATATATGTTTTATCCTATCATTATCGGTTTCCTCGATTTAATTAATGAAAAGCCATAACTAAGAATCTTCATAATGTCTATGAAGACGACGTTGGATTAATCTAACGTAATGGACTAACCTCACCGCTAACATCACTCTTGCTTACGTAAACAGAAAATATCCATGCATAACTCATAATTTCTGTTGTTTCTTTCTTCCTCCCTAACTTCTGGTCTTCAATGTGCTGAGTTTCTAAGAAATTCACGTCCTTCAAACACATTAATATCATAGTTTTCAAATCAATTTCTAAAGACGTTATGTTAGTTGAATTCGAGTTATTGTGAGATACGAATATATGTTAAACATCGATCAAGAAGAATTTATTTTATGTATAATATTTGCCCACGAAGTTGGTCAATTCCAGAATGCTGAGCGGGAAACATTGTGGAAGAGCAGCCACGCATGTGCATTGAACGTAGAAACTCGAAAATAGCCCTCATGGTACAAAGATTGTAATTAAAGGTTTCTTTTGCTTGAATTCCCTATCCTTACCTTTCAGCTAGATTAATATATATATTAATGGTTTCCAATTCTCCCCCCCCCCCCAGCAGCCCTGACTTGCTTCTTTTTTTTATGGTTTGATTTTGATTTCTAGAACAGTACATGTTGCCAATGGCAATTGTTTAGGGTAATGGTAATTTCTTGGGTGATCATCATTGCTAATGAATGGGTCAACTATATTATAATAATCTAAGAATACACAATACTATGCTTAGCGAATCAACCGTTCACGTAAATAGAATAAATTAAAGGAAGGACCACCACTGTTTATGTCAACAATAAATCCAAGTATTGTATAGCCATGATATCAGGGTATCTGATTCCACCTAATAACACCAACACCTCTGGGTTTCCCCCCCCCCCCATTAAAATAGACTTTTCGTTTCTGTATTATTTTTACTTTTTTTATCGGTTTAATTAATGAAAATACCAGTAAGTAAGAGTCACAATGTTTCATGAAGATGACGGTGGATTAAGCTAACGTAATGGACCTGACCTCATTGCTAACATCACTCTTGCTTATGCAAACACAAAACTCCTACCAATAAAATAATATAACATTGTTGTTTTCAACCTAATTAATCCGTAAAATACTCCACTTAATTGTGTATTGGATAATAAAAAAATAAGTGTTTTTCTTAAATATTATATAACTTAAATATCACCAGCAGTGATTGGTTCAAGTAGTAAACAGCTTGATATCGCTTAAGCAAGATTTCGAGTTCGAGTCCTTAAGTATGCAGAAAATCCTTACTAGGAAACTCACCCACTAAAGTCAGGTTGATTGGACTAAGTTCGAGTTTGGACACACTTGAGTTTTTCGGATAGATATGCTTCAAGGGCCTTCAATTTAATTTGAGCCTTGAACCCTAATGAAATTGAGTGTCCACAATAATAACAATTTAACAATAAATTTATTATTGTTTTATGGTAAAATATATTTTTTTATCGTTCTCCTGATTCCTTAGGGTGCGTTTGGTTCACGGAATGTAAGATTACCAGTGGGAATAAAAGATTACCAGGGAATAGGATTACTGGGAATGTTGTATTTTGTGTTTGGTTGGTTTAGCAGGAATGTAAGATTACCGTGTTTGGTTAAAGGAATAAAAAATTATTGGAATGTATATTTAACCAAATTGTCCTTATTATATATTTGTATAATATTACAAATTGTAAAATATTTATATATTTTCTTTAAAAAATTCATAATATTTATATAAATATTTTTACAAAATTAAAAATATAAAAAAGGTTTAATGAAAGGGTAAATTTTTTTTAATCCCTGAACTTCATATAAAATTTTAATTATATAATTTTTTTTGTAAATCTAAAATAATTTAAGGATAAATTTGTAATTTAACCTTCGTAGAATTTTTATTATTCAATGATAGAAGAAGAATATTTTTGAAAAAAAAAATTAAGGACATTTTAGTCCAAAATGCCAGTAATGTTACAATACCTAAGGGAAGGGAGATAATGACATTACCGGTAATATACCCCAAAAAACTACTATTGGTAATAAAACATTATCGGGAATGAGATTCCCGGCCAACCAAACATGGGAATGTGGGATTCCCATCCCATGGGAATCCCACAATCCTTGAACCAAACACCCCCTTAGGGTTTTATCCGGACTAATTTAGATCAATTAATGGCATACATCTGGTTTTGGTAGATGAGTTTCCTGGCAGTGATTTTTTGCATACACAAGTCTCGAGCTCAAGATTTGCTTAAGCGATATGCATCTGTTTACCACTTGAACCAACCATCATTGGTAATGAACATGTTTGATTTGACAATGTCATAAAAATGATTAAATTGATATAATTTTTAAATATAAAAGGGTTGAATTTCTTAAAATATTTTTAAATTAGTATCAATTTTAATTTTAATGATTAATGACATTTAAAAATATATTTTAGTTGAGTGACTATCTATAACTTAAAAAAATGCCCTAATACATAATTTAGTGACATGCCGTATATTTTAGCCTTGATAAATTCAAATGATCAAGGAGCGTATCTATTTGACATCAACACCGACTTTTCTGGTTGAATCAAATAGGGGAGTTGTTAAATAACGAATTGA